GTCCAGATACATGAGAACCTTCTACGCAACACAAACTCCAAGAAAACGCTCAGTGTCCAGCCCTGCACCTTGATTTTCTGAAGCGAAATATGGAATCCATAACAGTCAATACTTTTTATTCAGATTCCTGATGGGTGTACTCCACCAGAGTGAGAAGCCCGAATGGTGCAAGCACTGTTTGGAGAATGGTGCTTGCCTCTTGGGGGTCCTCTTCGGGCTCGTCGGCCCGCCTCGTGGCCTTGACGGCCCGCCCTGCGGCCATGGTCGTGATCTGTGGCCGTCCTCGGACCGCCTTGGCAATGTTGGGGGTCTGTCCGGGAGCTCGTGAGGCTTTCTCGGGCTCTCTCGTCTTAGGCCATCTCGGGCCGTTTGTGGTGCCCTGGACGAGGCCAGGCTGGTCGTACCTCAAGTTGTTGCGGGGCACTTGGCGGCTACATGTAGTAGAACTGACTGTGGTAGTACATCTGCATATGTAACATGTAAGTGCATATGTGTGTATGTGTCGATGGATGCATGTAGAAACGTATATGTACAGACGCCATCGCTGCGCGTGCGCACTGGTCTGCGAGACCGTGCATAGTTTTTCGCACACGGAACAAGCGTAGTGCGACCATCCCACCGCCAACCTTCTCGAAGCAGGAGAGGAAGGATGATCATGCTAAGTCTCTTGTGCGATCCCATCACCATCACTCTCGACAAGAGATCGAGGCGTGGCCGTGTCATCGCAGGTACCCCTTGGGTACATGAACAAGTGACTGCCCCACCCTACCCACCCTGAGAGAACTGGAAACAACACCACCCAATCATTTCCTTTCCAGATGGGGTCATGATCGCACAGGTGCGTGCACTGCGACAGTTCTTTCTAGACAGACCGCAGAAGTGGTCATGCCAACCACGCTGCTGCAGAAATGTCTGAGAGGCAACGGGCTGCAAAGAGAGAAGGTCGGAATCAGACTGGTGATGTTGACGTGGTCGTGCCATCACGTTTCCTCGTTCGTGGGTATCAGAGTGTCCGTCTCGCCCCTACCCCTGCAGACGATTGGGATCGGCGCCCACTCGCTTCCACAATAAATGGGAAGGTGCGACTAGGCGTGCACCCATCCCAGCACCATTTCATGTGTGGCAGGAAAATTCGCGGGCCAATTCTGGTGAAATATTCATCATATTTCTAACTCGCGCGCGCGCGCGTGGCGGCTCCCGGGGGCTCCCCGAACGAAAACAACCCCAGGCAAATCCCGGTAACGTCCCGGATGCAGGAACTCCTGGGCGCGGCCCTGGGGGCCCCCATTGCGCCCCAAGGAAGCTCCAAATAGGTGGCAGGTCCCACGGACTCAGGCCAAGAGCGCTCCAAGACGGCCCAAGATGGCTTCAAGACGGCCCAAGGGGGCTCCAACAATACTTGAATAAGGCCCCAAGAGGAACACATCGTTGATTGTGCGAATGTCGCTTATTGACGTTACCGCTTTGCGGGTTTCCGACTGCACAGGACGGACCAAGGGGCCGCCAAGACCGCCCAAGAGGCTCCCAGGACGGCCCCCAGATTGCCCAGGTGGATTCCAAGACGGCCCCAAAGGGCCGAAAGACGGCCCAAGAGGCGCCCAAGACAGCCCAAGAGGGCTCCAGCAATACCTGAAGATGGCCCCACGAGGAGCAAACCATCCATGTTGCACTTGCATGTTGGTGGCTTTGTTCCCCATATCCTAAGATGGGGTTCTTGTTATTACTTGGACGCCTCCTCCTCCTCCTCCTCCTTCCTCTTCTCGTCTCCTCCTCTTCTCGTCTCCTCATACGAGACTTACTCCTGTCCAGACTTACGCACACACAGACTTACTCATACTGAGACCTACTCATACTCAGACTTACTCATACCCAAACGTACACATACACAAACTTACTCTCACACACACACAGACTTACTCATATTCAAGCGGGTCTCAGGTGGGGCGCTGGTTTCAGCACCCCTAAGGGGAGCCGCCAGGGGTGGTTGCACGGGCACGTTCGCGGCCAGTTTGTGGGGATGTCTCAAGCGGTTTGCTCGTTTTCATGCCCAACATCCTTGGCTTTCAAAGCAGACTTTGAAGATGTCTCAGGCGGGGCGCTGGTTTCAGCACCCCTAAGAGGAGCCGCCAGGGGTGGTTGCACGGGCCCGTTCGCGGCCAGTTTGTGGGGATGTCTCAAGCGGTTTGCTCGTTTTCATGCCCAACATCCTTGGCTTTCAGAGCAGATGTTGAAGATGTCTCAGGCGGGGCGCTGGTTTCAGCACCCCTAAGAGGAGCCGCCAGGGGTGGTTGCACGGGCCCGTTCGCGGCCAGCTTGTGGGGATGTCTCAAGCGGTTTGCTCGCTCTCATGCCCAACATCCTTGGCGTTCAGAGCAGATTTTGAAGATGCCTCAGGCGGGGCGCTGGTTTCAACACCCCTGGCGTTCAGAGCAGATTTTGAAGATGCCTCAGGCGGGGCGCTGGCTTCAGCACCCCTAAGAGAGCCGCCAAGGGTGGTTGCACGGGCCCGTTCGCGGCCAGTTTGTGGGGATGTCTCAGGCGGTTTGCTCGTTTTCATGCCCAACATCCTTGGCTTTCAGAGCTGATGCTGAAGATGTCTCAGGCGGGGCGCTGGCGTCAACACCCCTAAGGGGAGCTGCCAGGGGTGGTTGCACGGGCCCGTTCGTGGCCAGTTTGTGGGGATGTCTTTGGCGGTTCGCTCGTTTTCATGCCCAACATCCTTGGCTTTCAGAGCAGATGTTGAAGATGTCTCAGGCGGGGCGCTGGTTTCAACACCCCTAAGGGGAGCCGCCAGGGGTGGTTGCACGGGCCCGTTCGCGGCCAGTTTGTGGGGATGTCTCAGGCGGTTTGCTCGTTTTCATGCCCAACATCCTTGGCGTTCAGAGCAGATTTTGAGTCAAAGCTCACTCTGACTCATACTCACTCACTCGCATCATGATTCACTCGTCTTTGTCGGCCCTGTCGCCCACGTGGACGCGCTATTATAGTCAAACGCTCATGAACAGACGCTCACTATGGCATGACATAAAACATGAGATGCACAGATGGGGAGCTCCACGCAGTGCATAATTTGCAGTTTTTGTTGCATTTCTGCAACGGAACAAGCATGCTGCAAGATCTTGGCTTTACCGAATATGCGGGTTTCAGACTGCCCCCCAGGACGGGCCAAGAAGCCGCCAAGACCGCCCAAGAGGCTCCCAGGACGGTCCCCAGACGGCCACAAGGGGACTCCAATACGGTGCTTCCGAAAAGACCCCAAGAAGCCTCCAAAAGAAGCATCTGGTCCACGATCCAGTTTGGCTCCAAAAGTTCCCCGAAAAGCAATCGAGTGCCTCCCAGGCATTTCCGTTGGCCGCTGGCCACAACCACACGAACACTTTCCCAATCGCTACGACCAGACGGGCACGCGGCAGCGATGACTCTGTGCAGGCGGCGGAATGAGCGAAGCGGTAAAATAAATGGTAATGCATTCACTTTTCTCCTGAGAGGACGGATCGGTGCTCTTGATCTCCACTGATTGGTTAGTTACTTGATTTTCTGCAAGCGTATCAGTTCAACCCCCAAGTAGCTTAAACCAAAACGCGATCAAGGCATGTGGGCTTTGGGTGTTGCGTAATCTGAGCTTTCGTTTGCAAGACACGTTGATGCTATGTGTCATGTTCCCCCAAGCATACTGTCTGCAAGAGAAGTCACACATACGTAAAACCTAACGGGTGCGGAACCAATGGCCCGTGGTCTGCAATGTGGCCTCCCGTATGATTTCCCGTACAATCTCCAGCTTGGTCTCCTGTATGGTCTTCCGTATTGTCTCCCGTACGGTTGCCCGAAGTCCTCCGTATGGTCTCCCACATGGTCTCCCGCACGATCTCCCGTATAGTCTGCCGTATGGCCTCCCGCATTGTCTCCCGTATGGTCTCCCATGTGGTCCACCAGATTGTCTCCCGTATGGTCCCCAACGTGGTCTCCCGAATGATGGTGTGAGGTATGCTCTCCCGCACGGTCCATCTTATGCGCTCCCGGGCCAGTGGCCCGGCCCCGGGCCGGGCCGGGTGCGCCCTTCTATGTACATGTCAAGAGAATTCAGATCACCATGCGGCAAACTTGAGTTTATGTGGACGGTACATACAGCCTTCTCACAAGTTTCATTAGCACACACTCGTGAACGCACGCGCACAGCACAACACAGCACAACGCCAGGGCACGTCATTAGTGCACACGCGCGTAATCAAGCATACGGCACCAGACACGCCCCAAGCTGGGACCCTTGAGAATCTGGAGAATCAGTGAGGAGGAGGAGTTGGAGAAGGAGGAGGAGGAGGAGAAGGAGGAACTAGAGGAGAAGGAGGAGGAGGAGGAGGAGGAGGAGGAGGAGGAGGAGGAGGAGGAGGAGGAGGAGGAGGAGGAGGAGGAGGAGGAGGAGGAGGAGGAGGAGGAGGAGGGGGAGGAGGAGGAGGAGGAGGAGGAGGACTAGGCGGCCTTCCGAGGTCGCCGAGGGCCCTCAGGAACTCTCCGAAGCCCCCAGAGGACCATGGCAGATACGTGGCAGACCCGGGCAAAGCAGGAGGAGGCTGAATATAGGAGAAGGAAGAACATCTGACGCTACTCAACCGGGGGGGGGGCGGCAATCCATTGGGGAGGACGGGAGGGGGGGGGGGGGGCTGGAAAGGCGCACCCCGGGTGCACCTTCGGAGGCACAGGGCGATCCCTTTCGGGCCCCTGTCCTGCTATCCTCGACCCCCCCCCCCCCCCGATATTGGCGGCGGCGCGCCCGAGGGGCAAGGCAGATGGGGGCGGGCCTCATCAGCAGCCTCGGGAGGCCCCCGAGCCTTCCGAGGAACTGCCTCGGACTCCCCCGAGGGCGGGAGGGCGGGGGCCGCAGGGCCTCGGAGAAGCCAGGCCGCCCTCTGAGCAGGCCTGCCCCCTCTCACTGCCCTCCTCGGCGCGCCGCCCGGCACTGCGGAGCGCCCGAGGAGAAGGGGAAGAGGGAGCCGCTGGGGCTCCATCATGCCCAGCTTGATCATGAGGTCCTCGCGGAGCGGAGGCCAGTTGCGTGCGCTCTCCTCACGCCCCGTCCTCACCCGCGTCTCTTCCTCCTCCTCCTCCTCCTTCTCCTCCTCCTCTTCCTCCTCCTCCTCCTCCTCCCCCTCCTCCAAGACCTCTGGCGGCTCGCGATGATCGTGTCACTCGCCATTCGCAGCGCGTGACAGCTTGAAAGTGTAACGCAAATCGGACACATGGGACCAGATGGGCGAATGGGGGAAAGTGGGAGACGGGGAACGATGGAGAGATCGGAGGGCTGGGGGCGGGGGAGAAGGGCGTGAGGGCAGGAAGGTGGGAGACCCGGTGGGTCTCTCTCTCTCTCTCTCTTTCTGGCTATTCACCTGCAAGTGTGGTCGGGCGTGTTTCCCATCTTCCCTCATCCTCACCTTCTCCTCCTCCACCGCGTCCTCGTCCTTTGTCTTTTCCACGTCCTCCTTGCTCCCCTCTTACTTCTCCTCGCTATCCACGCTTGCATCCACATGTTTCTCATAATCCTGTTCCTCATCCTCGTCACCTCTGCTTTCTCCTCCTCCTCCTCCCCGGCCTCCTTGGCCATTTCCTCCTCCTGCTCCTCCCTCTCCTCCTCATCCTCTGCCTCCCCTGCTCCTCCTCCGTGTCGTCGTCCTTCTCCACCTCCTCCTCCCTCCCATGCCTCTCCTCATCGTCGTCGTCGTCGTCGTCGCTGTCGCCGTCGTCGTCGTCGTCGTCGTCGTCGGCATCGTCGTCCTCGTCGGCGTAGTCGCGCTCCAATTTTAGCACTGGTGCGCTCGCTCATGGCGTGCGTGGGCGATGTGGTCGGCAAGGGGGGGAGGCACGAGGCAGCGAGAGAGGGCACTCAGGCGGTCGAGGCCTCCAAAAAGGACCCCCCAGCAGACCGGGAGGGCGCCGCATGTCTGGACGGAGGAAGCGACATGTCTTTGGAAGCCGGATCCAACGGTTAAAGACAATGCAGTGTGGAAGTCGCCATCGTTGGCCCCGATCGGCGCGTTATCGCACAATGGAGGTGAGCATTCGACGGTGTAAGCTATGTGGTGAAGCTGTGTCGTGCAAGCTGTGCGGTGCGAGCCATGAGTGTGCACGCTATGCGGCGAAAGCTGTGCTGTGCAAGCTGTCGTGCAGTCTATGGGGCGTGAGCTGGGGGTAAAAACTGCGGGGTGCAAAGCGATACGATGTAAGCCATGTTGTGCAAACGCTGCGGTGCAAGCTACGTGGCGCGGCGCCAGCGAAGCACCCGCGAGGCAGAACGGGCGGCGGCAACGTGGCGCAACCTGGGGAGACAGACCCAGCGCACGGGACTCGATGCGCCCACGAGGGGGCACGGGCGGCAACGTGGCGCCAACCTCGAGGGAGCCCACCCCGCGCACGGGACGCCCACGAGGCGGCACGGGCAGCCACGCGGCTCAACCTCGGGAGACCCACCCAGCGCGCGGGGCGCCCCCGAGGCGTCCACGAAGCGGCACGTGCCGGCGACGTGGCCAAAACCTGGCAAGACGACCCAAAGACTGCACAACACAACTAGCAACCCCTGAGCGAAACCACAGTCTGGGGAACAACGGGAACCGCGTGCATTGGGGAACCGAGCTTGGCTTCAAAAGATACGCAGGTCTCTCTTGGGGGGGCACTGAAGACGCGCAGTGGGGCAAGTTGGGAGGGCCAACCATTGGATCGGCCCAAGACCCACCAGAAGAAGGAACATCGTCACAAACATAATCTTTCGGAGGTCCGCGCGGGTTTCTCGGATCGGCGCTGAAGTCGCCAGCGGCGGCTCCGCCGGATGGTCCCCCGATCCTGGTGCGCGGCGCGCGCCAAGGAGCGGCGCCAGATGCGCCGCCCTGAGAACGAGTATCGCCTCCCAGGGGCCGACACATGAAAACCTTCAAGATCTTTCTGGTGGTCCAGGCTAAAGTAAGCTAAAACATCATAATCCGAGAGGGCGGAGGGAGAGGGACAGCCGGCGGTGCGGGCACAGCCCAGGTCGCCCGTCTTCAGTCAGCCGCGCCGAGCACAGAGCGGGAGGCGCGGCGGCCCCGGCGCTCTCGCGCCGCGCCCCGCCCCTCGGGACGCCGAGGGAAATCCACGAGGATGGCGGGATCGATCTCACGGTCGAAGCCTTCGGGCGGTGGAGGGGCGACAGGCTGCCGCTCCTCGGCCACCGCAAAGAGATCTTCCTGAGGTCGCCCATCTCACGGCGGAGCTTCGCGACATCGGAGTCAGTGGCGTCGGCATTCTTGTCGAGCCGACCGAGGTGCGCACCATGTTCGTCCGGCTGCGCTTGCACACGACGGTGGAGAGCGCCAACCTGCGGGCGCACGGCCCGCTGCACCTGCTGGTCAATGTCTTCGGCTTGCTCCGTGACTTCTCTCTGGAGCAACTCGATGACAGAGAGGAGAGACTGGTGGTTGTTGGCGACAGTGGCACCAACGGAAGCAGAGATGTCGGCGGTGAGGGTCTCACGCATGT